CTTTCTGTTTTACCCCGTCCTGAATTCTGTTAAAAGATAACATTTTGGGGTGTTCCTTCTGACTCGGTGGCCATCTTGCAGGTGTCAGCCACGACGACCTAAAGCAAGTGGGAGAACAGTTCCTTAACATTCGTAGTGGGGCTGGCATGGCTGGCGAAAAAGCCAAATATCGCGGAGGTGAGTGACTGTCTTCTACTCTGGCTTTGTGAGTGGGGTGCCTTTTTTCAGCACTCTTTAATATGGCTGGGAATATTTAGCAATCCCTGGCAGTTCTTGACTTCCAACAGTTCATTTAGTGACCCAAGTGACAGTGGCATTGAGAACAGTGACTTATAGCTTTTCACACTTACGACTATTACAGCGTCCCCATGGTCACCTGATCACTTGGCAGCTGACTCGCATTTAGGACAGTTGCAGTGTCCCGGGGTCATGTGACCCCTTTCGCGGCTTTCAGACAAGCAAAGTCAAAGGGGACTTAACAACTGCAGCAGACTTAACAACTACAGCGTTAACGATAAGGTCGTAAAATGGGGCAAAACTCAGCTAACAAACGCCTCAGCGACATAATTTTCGGGCTCATTTGTCATAAGTCGAGGGACTACTTGTCCTTAGAACTTTTATTATGGAACTACTGTAAGTACAGGTGTAACTTCCTTCTCCTTTTCCCTCTGGTCCACCAGCCGAGAAAGATCGGAGACTGTTATTTCTCCTCTCCTCTTAAGGTGAAATCCGAGAACAGCATGATAATGACCTCGTCCATGCAGTTGTAGTAGCAGAGGGAGCTGCTATGGGAGGTGCAGAAGTGAATGCATTTAGCGTCCTTCAAAATATCCTTGGAGCAGGACCTCTCATTAAGAGAGGAAGCAGGATTACCAGCAAACTTGTCCAGGAGATTGCAAAGGCAACTTCCTTACCCTTTGATGTAAGCACTGACACTTATTTTTTCCTTTATATCAAGGGCCTAGAACAGTGGTTCTCAACCTTTTTAATGCCGCGACCCCCCCTCCCAACCGGTCGTAAGTCGAGGACTACTCAACCGGTCGTAAGTCGAGGACTACTCAACTGGTGCAGCACCGTTTGCAGAATGGGACTTTTGGCAGGCTCAGCAGGGCAGAGAAGCCTGGACAATTCCTATTGACTTTTGAAAGCCAATAGAATTAGACTCTATTCAAAAGAGTCTATTCTATTGGCTTTCAAAAGCCAATAGAATAAAAGGGAGTAGCACAGCTAAGGAAAAGGGGGGGGGGAAATGGCAGACTGCGTTGTTTGGTGACCCCCGTGAAATGGTCGTTCGACCCCAAATGGGGTCCCGACCCACAGGTTGAGAACCACTGTGCTAGAATATGCTAACAGAAGTGGCCTTCTGTTACAGGTTACAGCATTCAATGTAAATTACTCTGATTCTGGTCTTTTTGGCATATATACCATCTCTCCAGCTTCAGCCACCAGGGAGGTAAGTTATCAGGGTTGATGTAACTCCAGATCACCTTGAGGCCTGTGAATTACTTGCACTCCCAAGTGTGTTCTTAGGGTGGGTGTGCCAAAAGGTGCAACTCCTTTGGGAGGGATTTAAGGGGGAAAACGGATGTCTTTTGAGGGTGGAGTACCTCCAATTATTGCAGCCCAAAGTAACGTATTTTATATATCATGTTTGTGTCGAGGTAATCAAAACTGCTTTGAATCAAGTGAAGGCGGTTTCCGAGGGTGGAGTTACTGAAGAAGAAGTGAAGAGGGCCAAGTAAGTTTTGCTCCCCCCCCCCCAAAGATTCTTTGGTTATAGGGTGACTTGTTCACTCTCCAAAGATATTGTGGCTCCTTCTTTCCCGTTAAACTTTCTTGACTATCGGGTATGGGCATGTGTAGTATAATTCTCTGGATGTGTTAAAACTTTATTAAGCTAGAGTTCCCCCCCCCCCCCAAAAAAAAATCACAGCCAAAATGAACAATAAAGTGGTATTCAGAAGTAAGGCTGTAACAGAGAGCACGTGGTGTTTATTATGTATTTGTTTGAGTTTTATCCCGCCTTTATTAATTCATAAGTAATTCAAAGTGGTGAACATATATAAGACTCTTTTCTCCTCCTATTTCTCCCACAAAACAACCCTGTTGGGTTGGGCTGAGAGAGAGGAGCTGGCCCAAGGTCACTTAGCAGGTTTTCATGGCTAAGATGGGATTCAAATGCACCATCTCTTGGTGATTGGTCCAAGGTCGCTACAGCCAATATTCCTGTCTAAGGCAAGACTAGAACTCAGTCCCCTGGTTTCTACGCCGGCACCTTAACGACTTCGCCCATCTGGTTGAATGCAGAACTCCCTGGTGTCTCAAGAGCCCTGTGTGCTTGAGATTCTTAACCATTGCTGTGTAAGTCGAGGGAATACTGAGATAAGTGGCCAAACAATTTGTTGTATTTGCAACCAGTTGGATCAAGGAGAGAAGCAACCTAGAACTGAGGAGAAACTTCCCAACAGTTAGAACAATTAATCAGTGGAACAACCTGCCTCCAGAAGCAGTGAATGCTCCAACACTGGAAGTTTTTAAGAAGAGACTGGACAGCCATTTGTCTGAAATGGTATAGGCTTTCCTGTCTGAGCAGTGGGTTGGACTAGATGACCTCCAAGGTCCCTTCCAGCTTTATTATTATCTCTTTTAAAAAAGGAGCAAAAACACCATTATCCGAAATCTGTTTATTCTGAAGTTATTTATTACATGATTTGATAAAGTGCATGATTATGGCATTTTTTCCCTTGGAGATATTTTACTGAAACTTATTTTTGTTGCCAGTTGCATAAGTGAAATTTCTCAGATGACTTTCCTCGTGTTTCCTTCCTTAGAGAATCTCCTTAATGCCACAGTGACGGCCGTTTTAGCATAACCTACATCCTTGGGATTCAACTGCAACACAAAATGTTTGTTGAAAACAAAGTGACCATAATTGGAAATGTATTCAGTTTTATCCTTAGCGCACATTTTTTTCTCCCATTTTTTTCAGTATTTATCTCATGATCAGTTAATCTGGAACCTATACCATAGTTTTGAGAAAGTCAGCATTGTCGGGGTAATTCACTGAAAAGCTTACGAATCAAACTGGGTGATAAACTTTAGTTAACTCATGGATGGTCCTAATTCTTTGTGCCTGACATTAGACCTATTAAGGAAAACCTGCACATTATGGAAGGCATTTTTTGTGTATCTTAGACTCAAGCCTTTTCCCTAACTTGTAACAATCAACAGATGTTTTGTCACTTTTCTCTGGAAACCCTAACTTGGGTCTTCAAATGTGGCCCTTTTATGACTTGTGGACTTCAACTCCCAGAATTCCTTAGCCAGCTCTGGCTGATTGAGGAATTCTGGGAGTTGAAGTCCACAAGTCATAAAAGGGCCAAGTTTGAAGATCCCTGCCCTAACTCATTAAAACACAGTAGCTTTGTATCAGGGATATCTAACCTTGTCAGCATGCTGGCTGGGGAATTCTGGACGTTGAATTCCACGGGTCTGAAAGTCGACACGGTTGGACACCCCTGCTTTACATTGTAGAGATGCCATTTTTATCCGTTGTGATCAGGTTGCTGTTCTTACCTTCCCTTCTCTCCCATTCCTTCACAGGCAGCAGCTGAAGGCAGCTTTTTTTATGGCCGTGGAGTCTTCAGAAGGTTTGCTTAACGAAATCGGCAGCCAGGTGTTGACATCGGGGACGTACACCTCTCCGGCCAGCGTGGTTGAACAGATTGAGTCGGTGACCACGGCTGATGTTGTGAATGTAAGTCTCGCACCAGTCAGTTGTTGTAATAAGATTAGACATCAAATTAAGCAGGTTTTCACCTTTGCGTTTAGTAGGCAGGAATTGGGGGGCACTTCTGGGGTCTTAAATGATTTATGTCGTAAAATAATTAACAATCCTCATAACTGTGACTGAACCCTGAATCATGGGTACGCCCCTTCAGTGCTAAGGGTCAGAGTTTGCACCGAGATTCTGTAATGCCAATTGCAGCTATATTAAGCTGGGGCCTGTGGTTAATTTGCACACTCCAAAGTAAATGTGTTCTTACTGCTGACACTGTAAACGATAATTGTTTGGAACTGGGGATATTCTGCATTTGCGTCTAATTTTCATCCATGTTTACTGTCTTTGAAGGCCTGCATTTAATAGAAAAGGGGACAGAGATAAATTAGCATCAGTTTGCTGTTCTGTCAGAAAGATTGCCTCCCTACAGGGATTCCTCGACTTAGTGACCATTTCTTTAGCAACCATTCAGAGTTACAACCGCACTGAAAAGAAGGGGTAGGAGCAGTCCTCGCCCTTAACGGTTACAATATGCTGGGGTCCTATGATCACTATTTGTGACCTTCCCAGCTGGCTTCCCACAGTCAGTAGGGGGCAGCCAGATTCACTGAATGACGGCATGATTCACTTAACAGCTGTTGTGGTTTGCTTAACTACCATGGCAAAAAAAAGGTACTCACTTAAGAACTGTGTTGCTTAGCAATAAAAATTCTGGTCCTCCTTGTGATGATAAGTGGAGGACCTCCTGTTATTTTAAAAGAGACTTTGAGCTTAAAAGAGTATATTTAAAAAGGGACAGACTGCCAATTATTAAGTATGTTTACCAACCATACTTTCTGCTTTACTTTCTCAGGTGGCCAAGAAGTTTATTAGCGGGAAGAAGTCGATGACAGCTCGGGGAAACCTGTCAAATACCCCTTTTGCTGACGAGTTGTAAGAAAGCAAACACAGGGTATGGCTGTAAGGTGAACCCCAAAGCAAGCCGGATCGACTGTTCTTCCAGGTGCTTTGGCTTAACAGATTTCTATGTCCATTTACCTACGTCAAATAAAGTGCAGAACCCGTACAACAACAGAATGGCCAGCCTTTTGTCTTCAAAAACTAGATTGCAGAAGTTGCCAGCTTTGGTTGGACCGGGCTGTAAGGCTTGTAAAATAAATCAATAAACTAAGAAAGTGAGTCCTGGCATAAGGTGTATAAACAAAGGTTCTGAATATTGGGCTTTGGGATTAGCTATTTCAAAGGGAATTCTGTGTACCAGGGGTCCCCAACCCCCGGTCCATGGACCAGTACTGGGCCACACAAACAAGCAAAGCCCCATCCGCAGGATGCAGGCAGCACACAAAACCACGCAGCCTTTGGTCCGCGGAAAAACCTCTCTCCACGGAACCGGTCCTTGGTGCCCCAAAGGTTGGAGACCTCTGATCTATACGCCATGTAAGAGACAGCACTATCATTGTGGTGGTTTTGAAGTAAATTCTTACCTCTAAAAGTGAAAGGCGGCTGAACGCAGCTCTTTCTGTTATACTTCAGAGGATGGCTTCCGGAAACTAAGAAAACTGATTGTGGTTTTCTTCTTCCCTTCTAAGGTAGTTCCTCCATAGGAGGGCATTTCTCATTTCAAAAAAAACCCCAGATTTTCCCATCTCCAAACAGATGAAAACTGATTTCCAGTTCGGGGATAACGGGGGCAAACGAAAATCCAGCCCAAAGCTCCAATGCGACGCCCCCAATCTTGGCCAGGCCAAAGATAAATTCAGAGGCCCGTCTACTCAAGTTCGTAAGAAACATTTTCAAGCCAAAATGCATCCGACACGGAGGAAGAAGACGAGGCTGAGGGTGGGGCTTTATGTTTGGGCATAGTCCAGTACGGAGAGGATGACGATACGTATAATGTTGACATGTCCACCTCGCTTTCCGTTTCAAAGTCCTGATGGATCATAATGTCACAACCGATGTCGGAACCCACGGTAAAGGTATAGGTTTTCCTTTCAAAAATGTGCCAGTCTTTGGAGATCCATGTGGGTTGGTGGATCAAAGGCTCGACGGAAAGTGAGCGCACAGCTTTCACGTTACGGAGGCTGTGGACGTTATGGACGCTGTGGAAGCTATGGACGTTATGGACACTATGGACGTTATGGATGCCATGAAAGCTACAGACGTTATGGACGCCATGGAAGCTACTGACATTATGGATGCCATGGAAGCTACGGATGTTATGGACACCATGGAAGCTGTGGACACTACGGACACCGCGCACTGATAAAGCTCTCGCGCGTTCAGGTTCTTGGTAGCTTTCCTCACTGCCCTCCTCGCTGTCCTCAACCTTCCCTTCACTCTCGTTCTCCGAGTCTTCACTGCTCGTCCAATTTTCCTCACTGGCGTAACTCTCTATGCTGAAATGTAGAGAAGGATCAGTTCCCGCAGGGAATTGTCACACTGTTTTTACTATCTATTTCTCAAAAATTGGGACAGATAACAAAACTCCCTTACTCTGTTGCAGGTCCTTTTAATTCAGGGATGTTTACGAGGGCCGTCTGCCACCGGCTGGGGATCTTAATAAAATCCCTGTAAACCTGGATTTGCAGAACGGTTCCTATGGGAACAGTGTGCAGGAGCTGTCTGAGTTCTCGCAAGGTCCAGCCTAAGACATTTGCGTGTCCAATTTTGAGTAGGATATCTCCTGAAATGGAGGGAAAAAACACGGGATCCATGGTACTGCCAATCATTGCTTAAGAAACATAGTTGAAAATTGCAATGCTGAGTAAGTTTAAGAAAGTAATCAGCTTCAATCAAGCATAACAGTAAAACAGTTTTTTTTTTGTGTGTGTGTGTGTGTGTGTGTGTGAAGGTCTGGAAAACAAAGTAATAAAAGAGTACACATCCTGAAGTGTTGATTGCTCAAAAATCAAGCAGTCCTTCACCAAGAAGATTGATTTATTGATTTTCTATGCCACCCATCTCCCTGACAAGGTGCCTCTGGGCAGCCTGATTGATTGAAATTTCATGCTAGGACAGGGGTCTTCAAACATGGCCCTTTTATGGCTTGTGGACTTCAACTCCCAGAATTCCTCAGCCAGTGTGCCTGGCTGAGGAATTCTGGAAGTTGAGGTCCACAAGTCATAAAAGGGCCAAGTTTGAAGACCCCTGTGCCAGGACAAGCACAGATTTTTATCAAATGGTACTTACAGCACCCATTGGGGAGCTGGCTGAGGAATTCTGGGAGTTGAAGTCCACAAGTCTTAAAGTTGCCAAGGTTGAGGACCCCTGGAGTATAGCTTAGGGTGGGTTTTTCCATACTTGGGAACCAAAACCCTTTTCCCATTGTTTTGAATAGGTCTTCATCTTGTTACTGGTTTTGTATGGTCTCAACGCTGGTTTTGTGGTTTTGCTCACCTGCTTGGAGTTTGCCGTCTTTGGCAGCAGCACCTTTGTCTACTACACCCGAAACTTGGAGATAAGGCCCATTCTGAATAAGTATGATACCTAGACCATCCTCGTCCATCTGAATATTTGTTTTGATGGTTTTGCTCAAAGTATGTTCAGAATCCTCCATGTCCGAAGACTCATCTAAAGTGACAAATGCAGGGGACTTCAAAAAGCTAAGCTTTGTTTAATCATTAGTGTAGAACTCCATCCTGCCCAGTTTCTTAAGAAAACACAATTCTTCTGGACTATATTGTACAAAAGGTGCACATTTATATTTTTAACCTGTCCTTTAGGCCAGGGGTCCTCACCCTTGGCAATTTGAAGACTTGTGGACTTCAATTCCCAGAATTCCTCAGCCAGCTTTGCTGGGAGTTGAAGTTCACGAGTCTTAAAGTTGCCAAGGGGAGGACCTCTGCTTTAGTCAACTTTAGATCTTGTTTTCTTTCTTACCAGCGTAATTGGAAGAAATTGTCCTGAGCCATAAATAGACAGCCTATTGTGCAAACTACTATAAACCGTGGATTACATTGGAGCATGTTGAATAAGGCCAACTTTGGTTTATTCAAATCAAACTCTCATTGCATTCTGAAAAATGTCCGCAAAGTATGGATCAGTCCAGCATGTAAAACCTGTCTTTCCTTAGTCTGATTCTAATCCCTTGTGCTCACCGGCTCAATTTTTTCTACAATCTGAAATTTTGAAGCAACCCAACCCATAATGCATTAGAATTTGCATTATATGCAAGATTAGAAATATGTTTTGGGGGGTGCTTACCTGAATCCCAGTCATTCTCATAATCTTCTAAATCAGAATATAAACTTTCTTCATCTGCAGAGGAAGAATACGAGTAGGTTACAAAGCTTGTAGATCCTGGTCAAAAGTATAAAGCAGTTAGCCATCCTAATCTAATGGACGTGCTCTACACTTGAGCTTTTTTCTCAAGCCAAAGCTTAGCAAGGGGCTAAGGAAATAAAGAAAAACATGGAGGTGCTTGTAAAATGAGATCCACTCCAAAGCTGAGTCCCAACGCTTGAGGGTGTCTAATGGCATTTGCTCTTTAAATAGCAAATTTCAGCGGCACATCATTTAAACTGCCTATAAAGTCCTATGTTAGAACATAGAATAATAGAGTTGGAACAGACCTTGGAAGTCTTCTAGCCCAACCTCCTGAAATGATATAAGAGACCCTCTATCATTTCAGACACATAGCTGTCCAGTCTCTTTTTGAAAGCCTTCAGAGATGGAGCACCTACAACTTCTGAAGGCAAGCTATTCCACTATTGGGAAATTTCTCCTGAATTCCAGGTTCCTTTTCTCCTTGGTTAGTTTCCAACCATTGTTTCTTTTCTTGCCTTTTGGTGCTTTGAAAAATAGTCTGACCTCGTCTTGGTAGGAGCCCCTCAAATATTGGGAACTTTGAAAAGGCATTTGTTACTAAGCATTGGTGGCTGCCTCCCTGTGAGAAATTTGAGGTTGAGTCAGATGCATCTTTCATTGGATGCCATCTGAGATGCTCACCGATCAATAATAAGTACTGCTTAAAGAAAGAGTTGGCCTGCAGTCATTAATTTGTTGTGTAAATACATGCAGGAATGTAACAGTGATGTCAACATCTCTAGGACTTTTCCACAATGAGCAGCATTTGTTGACCCCCAAATGCGAAAAAGTCAGTCGCAAGACTTTTTATCAAATTATTGATCGCACTGATGGAAGGAAGAAGGGAGAAGAGCAAGTGAGAAGGAATTTAGCTATAATGATACCTGATGATACTTGAGACCATCTTCTGAAGGTCAGCCCAGCTGCTGACCTCCTCCTGAAATATGGCCACTTTAGAGATGACTTTCTTCTTTCAAAAGACCTCTCTCTGGCGGAGGACCGCCTTCTGTCAAAAGGTCTCCTCCTGTCAAATGTCCTCCCTCGGTCAGCTGATGACCTCCTTCTGAAATATGGTTCCCTTGCAGAAGATCTCCTGGCAGATGATCGCCTTCTGTCGGATGATCTCTCTCTGGTGGAAGACCTCCTTCTGTCAGAAGATATCCTTCTCTCAAAGGTCCTCTCTCGGTCAGCTGATGACCTCCTTCTAAAGTATGGTCCTCTTGTAGAGGGCCTCCTGGCAGATGATCGTCTTCTGTCAGATGATCTCTCTCTGGTGGAGGATCTCCTTCTGTCAGAAGTTATTCTGTCAAAGGTCCTTCCTCGCTCATCTGATGATTTTCTTCTGAAGTATGGTCCACTTGTAGAGGGCCTCCTGGCAGATGATCGTCTTCTGTCAGATGATCTCTCTCTGGTGGAGGATCTCCTTCTACCAGAAGAAGTCCTTCTGTCAACTGTCCTCCCTCGCTCATCTGATGACCTCCTTCTGAAGTATGGTTCTCTTGTAGAGGGCCTCCTGGCAGATGATCGTCTTCTGTCAGATGAGCTCTCTCTGGTGGAGGACCTCCTTCTGTCAGAAGATCTCCGCCTATCAAAGGTCCTCCCTCGGTCAGATGACCTTTTCCTGTCAGATAATCGATCTGAAGAACCACTGATCGAAGACTTGAGGGAAGGTGATTTCTTGAAAGTTAACTCTTTCTTAAAAGTTGGCTTTTGAGGATCCATGGTGATCAGTCCTCAGCAGGATCTATCCGGAACCCAACATAGACAGAGACTACATGGAAAGTGGAAATGACCACTAATCTGAAAATATCACATTAAGGAAGAACACTGCGGTAGGCAAGGTGATGACAATGCCTAGCAACAGTTTAGAATCTTAATGGTATTTGAATTCCAGGAATTTTGGAACTTTCAAGAATGAATAAAGAGTAAAAAAAATGACTAGGCAGATTTAAGGTGCCTTCACAAGCTTCTGAAATATCTGGCATTGTTGCAAAAGTGGAATTATGAAAAAAAAAAAAAAAGGATCGTTCATTTGATGGGCTCACACCCAACACTGAGCAGTGTAGTTTAGACAGCAGATCTTGGCTGAATAGCACGAATGAAAGTGGTCCTGTTGTAAACAATGCATAAACTCTGCTTCTGAGAAAAAAAACTTTCCCGTATATTTTTTTCTTTAAAATGAGGCTCTACAATACTGTGATTTTTTTTTTTTTTTTTTTTTTGCACAGCAAGCCATGGAGATAATATCCTAAAGGTCATTTTCAAGGGTTTTGAATAAACGCTGGAGTTAAGTACTTTCTCAGAGACTCTGTAATTTGCATAGATGGATCTAAAAATACAGCGGATCGACCATCCGCTGTGTAAATGTCAATGGTAATTTAGAGCAGCAGCAGTGTTATGGGTATGTCCTATCAAGACAACCCTCAAAAAGGTGTTGCTATGGTTTTATACATATATTTAGAATTTTTTTACAAATCTGTGGCTTTCGAATTGTTAAGAGTTGGCAGTTTAATATACTACTAATCCAGTGGTTCTCAACCATTTTAATGCCGCGACCCCCAACCGATCGTAAGTCGAGGACTACTCAGCCGGTCGTAAGTCGAGGACTACTCAACTGGTGCAGCACCGTTTGCAGAATGGGACTTTTGGCGGGCTCAGCAGGGCAGAGACAGCCTGGACAATTCCTATTGGCTTTTGAAAGCCAATAGAATTAGACTCTATTCAAGAGAGTCTATTCTATTGGCTTTCAAAAGCCAATAGAATAAAAGGGAGTAGCACAGCTAAGGAAAAGGGGGGAAAAATGGCGGACTGCGTTGTTTGGCGACCCCCATGAAATGGTCGTTCGACCCCAAATGGGGTCCCGACCCACAGGTTGAGAACCACTGTACTAATCGATCAAACGTCTGATACTACTGGATCCAAATTAATCATATCTTAATTTGGGGGGGGGGTTTCTCTTGTGGAAGAGCTGTTTAGCATTGCTAAAGCAAAACTTTTAGAATGGGATAACTCTTTAGGAATCACGCACCCAGGCACATTTTACAAACAGTGTTTAGAGAAATCTGATTTACAAAAAGGGCTTTGCATAGTAAACAAGTAAAATAAATAAAAAGAAGTTTGAAATTTTTAAAAAGCGGGAGAACGAGTTAAAACTCCAGAAAATTAGATCCTCTTCTAAACCAATTGACAACGGCCTGGACCCAAGTTGCATTAATGGTTGGTAATTGTGTTATCCAACTCCTGTTGGTAAGTGCCAGTTGTGTGTGTGTATATGTGTGTGTAATAAGACCGTGACTCATACAATTATATGAGTGGCTGGAGTAATACTAAGCATGCCACCTAGCCAGAAATCTGTTAAGGATTTAAATAGCAAAGTCTGAGAAGAATTGTTATTCCAACGCCTTCTACTCCAACCCCTTATTTTTGCAACTACATCTTTATTTTTCTTTTGGTTCAATTATCTAACTCCACTAAAAGTCCTTTGAGCTAGGTGGCCAAGTCTTATATTAAAAATAATATTATGAAGGCTCAGTTTTCTTCTCTCTGTCACTCTGCATGGGATTTTTTCCCCCCCTCACAACCAAGAAATGGAAGGCAGACTTCAACCTCTTCTCTCTAATGGCGCCCAAATCCAGCACGTGGGACCTTTCTCCCTCCCACCACCTCCCAAGCCACGCCCCGATCACGCCCCTTCCCACCCACCCATCACGCCCTTCAAGTCCCGCCCTCCCAGGGAGCCCCGCCCACCCAAGCTGTCCTGGCGACGGCGATCGGCGTCGCCGTCTCCTCCAGAAGCCCCGCCCCGTCTGGTGCCCGCGGCGAGAGGCGCGCGGGGACGGAGGGAGGGAGAAAAAGACCCCGCGCTTTCGTTTCCGGGTGAGGCGACCGCGGCGGTGCCTGCTTGGGTTTTGCTTCCGGCGCCGTCCCGAGTCGGGGCCCGGCGGCGGGGAGGGGCCGCCCCTGCGCAGCGGCTACCTGAGGACGGCGGTAAGGGACGCGGAGGGGGCGGCCGCGGGCCCGGCCAGGCCAGGCGGCGCCGGCGGCGCGAGGGGTCGGAGGCCGCGCCGAGCCATGGAGCCGCGGCTGTGAGGAGCCCCCGGCCCGGGCCCCGCCTGTGGGAAGCCGGGCCGTGGCCGGAGCCGGAGGACATGGACAAATTGACCATCATCTCAGGATGCCTCTTTCTGGCCGCCGACATCTTCGCCATCGCCAGCCTGGCCAACCCGGACTGGATCAACACCGGCGAGTCCGCGGGTGGGTCGGCGGGGACGGGGGTCGCGGGCTGGGGAAGGGCGGGAGAAGCCCAGCCCCGGGAAGAAGGGACCGCAGCCTCTAAATCCCCCTCTCCGGGGGGGACGACCCCCCAAATCCTGAGCGCGTGGGTGGTCGGAGGTGCCTTTTGCGGGAGGGGGAAATGTGGGGGGGGGTCGGGGCAGTGGAGACGCGCCACTTTTAAGATTTGGGCTGCTGGGAAACTTGGGGCGGGGGGCTGGTTTGGATGGACCTTCGGACTGGAGGCCGTTGGGGGGGACAAGTGTTTGGGGGGGGTCGAGAGAGAAGCCGTGAAGGAGAGGAAGGAGGGACAGAGTCCAGGCTTTTCCTCCCAGGGTGAGTTTGTATAGTTCAGGGGGTCTTCAAACTCGGCCCTTTGATGGCTTGTGGACTTCAACTCCCAGAATTCCTCAGCCAGCGCATGCTGGCTGAGGAATTCTGGGAGTTGAAGTCCACAAGCCATCAAAGGGCCAAATTTGAAGACCATTCTGACAAATGATTAATCTCTTCTTAAACCCTCCAGTGATGGAGCACCCACAACTTCTGGAGGCAAGACTGGAATCTGTTTTATCTGTTGTCTAGACCAGAGGTCCCCAACCCCTGATTTGTGGGCTGGTACTGGTCCACAGCATGCAAGAAACCGGACTGCGCAAACAGTGAAGCCCCATCTGCAGGATGCAAGCATCATGCAAATCTATACCCCCTCTGGTCCGTGGAAAAACCTCTCTCCATGGAACCGGTCCCTGGTGCCCAAAAGGTTGGGGACCTCTGGTCTAGAGACGATGGTCAGTCAACTGAACCCTCAAGCCTAACACCGCCCTTCCTCTTAAGAAGTTTGGGGAGAGAGGAAAAAATATTTATTTTCTTTTACAATCCCAAAACCTACTTGTTCGATGTGGAGAATCTTCAGTTGCTGGATTTGATCCATTTCAATCAGCCACCATGTAGATCAGCAATTTTTGGAGCCTCTGCTGTAAATCTGGGACAGAAGGGAATAAAAAGTACTACACAGGTGCAAATTATGAGGAACTGGTAAGGAATTTGGTCTCCATGTTGACAAGGTGCAAGTAATGTGTGACCTACCAGTAATTGCTGTAGCCCAGTGTTTCCCAAACTTGACAATTTTAAGGCATGAGGACTTCAACTCCCAGAATTCCACAGCCAGCAACGCTGGCTGTGGAATTCTGGGAGTTGAAGTCCACATGCCTTAAAATTGTCAAGTTTGGGAAACACTGCTGTAGCCCATTGACCAACAATTGAAGTCAGTCGGGGTCTTCAGACTTGGCCCTTTTATGACTTGTGGACTTAACTCCCAGAATTCCTCAGCCAAGCATGCTGGCTGAGGAATTCTGGGAGTTGAAGTCCACAAGTAACAAAAGGGCCAAGCTTGAAGACCCCTGGTCTGGTGCTTAAGGCTGGAAAGTGGGAGTCTGTGAGTTCTAATCTTGCCTTAGCCATGAAATCGGCTGGGTGACCTTGAACCAGTCCCCCCTCCAGCCCAATTTACCCTCAAAGGATGGTAGTGATGGTAGGGAAAATAGGACGAGGAAGGTGCATTGGATATGTTCGCTGCCTTGAATTATTTGTAGAAATAATAAATGGGGGATTCAAATAAATCATCAGCTAATGTTGATTGATGGTCTTGTACTAACAGTAAACCCTTTGGAATACTAGTTTTCATAAGTAGTAAAGTATACTTTGTGCATGATGGTATCTGGGTGACGTTATTGAAAGAATGGTGTACTAGTTTATTTCTATTTTTTCCTTCCTCATAATGTTCGTCGTTTCGAAATTATAAGCTTGAGAAATGAATGTCTAGTCCTAATGTGGCATGTCTTAGAAAACCTGCAGGCAAATGGAAAAAGCAGAATTATTTTAGGAAATTGACAGTGGTCCTCATGAGATAAACCGTGGCTGTTGTTCAGCTAACTGGCTGGGGAGTTCTGGGAGTTGAAGTCCGCAAGTCATAAAAGGGCCAAGTTTGAAGACCCCTGACCTAACCCCTGACCTAAATCCATTTCAGGCATAATAGCTGCATTTGCAAAACATAATAAACTTGAGTTAGTTTCAACTCTGTTTAGTGCTTATGTGATTTATTTGCATAGAGTCAACGTGTTCGAATCATATTGTACACCGATCCGTGAACCAAACTTTAAAATAGTTTTATTCGTTATCAATCAGGCTAAGTGTCTTGTGGAGAGGCTGCCAATAAGAAGGTTGTGTGACCTCTGGGGCGCAGGCATCGTGTTTATAAATACCTAATTTTAAAAGCAACAAGGGAAGGAGTTTGTGAGCTTGGTTCACGTCAGGTGAAAAAAACAAGCTGAGTTCAGTCAGCAAAGTACATTCCAGCTAGTTGTTTAGGAAGGAAGAACAGCAAACAAGTGGGGAAAAATGACTTGGAATTAACATCCCTAAAAGCGAGAGCAATAAATCCTTTCTGTTCTTTTATTGCTCATTTTGCAGCTTTCCAAGGTCCCTATTTTGCCTGAAATTGAGTGATATGTGTGTGTGTGTGTGCGCGCACGCGTGCCCGTGCACAGCAGGAAAATGAGGAGCAGATGAGGTTTTCTTGCTGCTGAAGTGCAGACCAAAAGAAATGCAGAGGTTAGAGAGTAAATTTGGACCCCGAGATCGACCTTAATCTAATTGCTATATATATATAGTGTTTCCCCAACTTGGCAACTTTAAAACGTGTGGACCAGCTCCCAGAGTTCCCCAACCAGCCATGCTGAATAAACTTGCCAGCTTCGAGAAGCACTTGTTGCATATCATAACACCCAGAATGTATGCAAGCGATAAAAGGAAAGCAAAGAGTGAATTTTTAAAAGGAAGGGTTAGAAACAACCAACCAGTTGTCAGTTGTTGGTCATTCTCGGAGCACGTGTGTACCTGTGTTTCTCGGGAAAGAAGGGCTTATTCTCTCTTCCTTGCACTGAGGCTTTGTGTGTTGTGATGGGAGAGGCTGTTCAAGGAATTGATTTATTCCTGTGCAACACAATTCAGCGCTGTTTGTTTTGTAAATGCGATAATAGCTGCTGAGAGAAGAGGCTTGGATGTCCTGCAGGGCTTTGATTGGTGGGTGTGGTTTTAGCAAATATAAGTGATTGTGAGCGCGCGCACGCGCGCGCGCGCGCGCGCGTGTGTGTGTGTAATGAGTCTATTTGAAATAAGTATTTAAATTGCAGTGCCAGAGGGTACATCAACCAGCATTAGACTTTATTACCACGGTAGAGATCAGCCAGTTGACATGCCATAAACTTCATTTAATACAGCAAGTTAAGTGTAATCCTGATAGCTCTCTGTTGTTTTACTTCTGATTGTCTTATATTTTATTTCCAGGCTCATCACCATATCAAAATTAAGCAAGTGTTTTTTTTGTTGTTGTTTTGCAGAGATGAATTAGTAAAAGTTACATAGTTGCATCGTCTGTTTTGGTTTTGTTTCCATTGTAAACTCATCTGCAACATAATTGCTCTGTCTGTCTTGATTGACGGGGTGGGGTCCAGCTCCGCCACTTTGTAAAATTGTCTTAATCTTGTGTCTTCTGGGTGAGCCTAAAGGGGCTTCTAACACTTTGCTGAAATAATTTATTTTGATTTCTTTGGCTGGTGGGTCTCAAGGACTGGCTCTCCTGCTTGAGCAGGGGGCTGGACTAGAAGACCTCCAAGGTCCCTTCCAGCTCTATTCTATTCTATTCCTGGGTCCTCTTGGTCTTGGTAAATCTCTATGCAGGTTTGTACGGAAATTGGTCCATCCGGCCGTAGGATAACGTGTGTAATTTCCCCTTCAACATCTGGAGAAAATGCAGTAATAACAGAAATAAGTGCAATTTAATGTCATGCCTCCTATCCCTTATTTCATTTGTGGGTTTTTTCCTTCTCCTCCCCCTTCCTCCCTCTTCCTCCCCTCCTCCCAATTAAAGTGATCTCTCCTAATGGCTTTCTGCAAAGAACATTCCCTATTCATTGACTTATGGGGTGAGGGGCAGGGCAGGGCAGCCTCAATTGCACAGCTCATAAGAAGAACGATAGATCATCAGCAGGCATTGTTTAGTTGTGTTGCTGGCAGAACGGACAAGGAGTGGAGTGATTGATTGTCCCAAGTCTTGAGAAGACCTGGAAATGCTTTTCAGATCTTACTATCAATCATTTAATGGAGTCTGATGCAGAAGGAGCCAATATCGGCTTGATGACACCAACCCAGGGGTAGGCAACCTTGGCTCTTAGCTGGCTCAGGAATTCTGGGAGTTGAAGTCCACAAGTCATAAAAGAGCCAAGGTTGCCTACCCCTGCACTAACCCAATGGTCCTATCTTAGCTGCATGAGAAACATTAGGAATCCCCAACGCCTTCATGGCCAGACTGGTTGAGCCCAGCTGAATTGGAGTCATCAAAACAATGCTTTGTTTTATTTTTGACTAGGGAAAGAAACATGGATCGCCTTCCACTTTTGACTTTCTTCTCCTGATTCCTCCTTAGATTCCTGCAATTCTACTGCGTTTGGTTTCAGAGCAGGCTCTTATATTCTGGTGGATTTGCCGTTGCCTCGGGGACTTGCCTTTGCCTCAAGTGTGTGTCTCTGTGTCTGTGCATGAGTGGGACAGCACACATCGGTTTTCTCTTGTTGATTTCTTCCTGTTGACCTCTTCATAGCAAGCTGCAAAACTGTCAGTAATGGAGCGGGTTTCCTTTACTGCACTTGCATACCTTGAAGGCAAGAGTTGAACTTTTAATTAACTTGTGCTATGTTGATTAGGGCTTAATTCCTAGTTTCCTGGCAGCAGTATAAATTAAGAAAAATTAACCATGGTGATAAAAAAAAATTGTGGATGCCATACAATTAAGTCCGCTATATCAATCTCCATCTTGGGCAAGAGATTAAATCAGTCTCCTGCCCAACAGCAGCGTTCTGCTCCATCTTATTTATTCCACATCATCCCATGATTGAGCAGGCATTGAACCCAAGAGTGCTTATTACACT